TCTAAAGAGCCAAACTATCAGCGTTTGGCCGTAATAACAATCTTAGTGACCGGGAAAGTAAGCAGAAAGCGACTAAAAAAAAGACATTGATGCAGTACTGACTAAAGAACAAAGGCTCTGGGTGGTTTACAGATGCAAAAGCAACACATAAACAATGCATGGTGTTCTGAATTCTCACCATACAATACATATAATTCACTTGTTTATAGTGATACGGAAAGGCCAATAATTTCCACATAATTATTGTCTCTGCAGGAAGCCAGCTCCATGTCTGTAAGAGAGGTGTAGCAGAGTTTTGCTTTCTTTTCTGTAAACCTAAACACGCAGCATTGTTTTGAACAGTCTGGCGTATAATATTCACTTTCTCAAAAAATGTTCCTGATAACATATAGATCTAGTTTCAATTTATAATGAATCTAGTCTTGATAAAACTAAATCAATTCCTAATAAAACAATATAATATTATTTAGCATTGATTGAAAGACTCATTTACTGATATTTTGTTCTCTTTTTTTCTAGCCGATATTGACAAATTGGGATTACGATAGCTGTACTAAGATTTTTTATTTGTCTTGAATATTGCATCAGACTTGTCTATGTGATCGTTGTAAAATTCATTTTTAAACTTTTCACTGCCATCCAGAATGGGTTCTGTTTTATCAATTTCCTTTTGTTCATCATCTTCTTTTCCCTTACGACACTACAATATTGTCAGGTATTTGGGTATCGTCAGCATAGATCCGACGCTTAGTCATACTTAATTATTTCCGTGACAAGTGGTTGTGTATAAATTGTGAGCAAACTGGGCCAAGGACAGAACCCTAGGGGGGGGGGGGGGGGGGGCATGAACAAAAACATGACCTGGTGACTGGTACTATTTAATGTCAACGGACTGTTAATTTCATAAGAAAAAATACAAACCAGCATATGGCAGTCCCAGTATTTTTTTAAGACGCTTCCAACCGTTTTAAGAAAATGTAATGGTCAATCTTTTCAAAAGCTGCTGATAGATCTAAAAGGCTTTGCAAAACAACCTTTATCCTGCGTGTCATCAAGCATGTTATTCAGGACCTTAAGAAAAGCTGTTTCTGAGTTGTGGTTGGCTTGATAGGCAGACCGGAATGACTCTAATAGATTGTTCACTTGTAAGTGGTGGCTAAACTGTTCGACGACAACCTTTTAAAGAGAGAGAGAGAGAGAGAGA